AACAGAGTAATGTAACTAGTCTTGACATGAAGTCAATGTTGTTTGCAGTAAGCAATATTCCAGCTATAGTACTGCGGCCTGTAAATAACGAATATTGACATGAAAACGCAGTAACTGAAGGCGGGAGCATCTTTCAACGCCATCGGGGTTGGATGTGTACAAGCCTCATTACTCGCGCCCACAGTTTGGTCTGTTCTACATGTTCTGTGGGAAACTAGGGACCTACTGTGACCACCAACTCCCACTGGGTATGTGAAGATATCTACACGGTATGGCAGTTGTATTTCCTTAACGAGTCTAAGGAATTTCAATTCATGTCTAATGTTTCATACTAATAAACGTTAGGAATTATTCAAAATAAAGATAATACTTTATTTAGTTGTGCATGACGTGTGATGGGGGTAGTGCACACTGGTGGTTACACATTTTACTGATATATAAACATGTCCATGACGGCAAGGCGACCTGATAAAACAATATGGTGGCTCCATGATAATGGCATTGCCTGTAAGTCAGTTTTGCTTTTTTGTATATTTACAAAAGTTATACAGCTATAAGAGAACTTTTCTTGGGACCAGTATCAACGTCGTTCCATGTTGTGTTTTAATCGTAGATAAATACACTGTATTGTTAACTGGCTACGTATGCCTCGGGTCCAAGAGGGGTATCATGAACATTAGAATAAATACACGAGTACACCTGACCCCGGATTATCCAGGGCTAATCATAAAGTAGGAGCTCGCTCTGTGGGCAAACTAAGGTGTTTATGTACGACAAGTAATGGTTCATGTATTTGTGTCTATCCGTCAGCGCGTGTGCCAAGGCGATGATGCATCCTCTCTAGGTGGAGATGTTGCTATTAAGGAACGCAACGGGATATAGCAATTTCACATACACCACTCTTTACTCAGTCGTAAGTAGAACATATATTATATGTATGCAGAATTGAGACACTGGAGAGTAAGTAGAACATATGTATGTAGAGTGGAGACACTGGAGAGTAAGTAGAACAGGCCCATGGGCGACATCGTGTAAATATTGAGTTTTTGAAGATTTTTTTTTCATATCATCTTCCTTGGTATGTTCCCATGAAAACAGCATGTTTAATTTTGTAAATACCCTTGACCGAGACTGGGTAAAGACCATAGAGTTTCTGGACTTTTGGGCTTCGTGATATATGGGACGTGTTATATGTTTGTATAGTGGAGACACTGGAGAGTAAGTAGAACACATATGTATAGTGGAGACACTGGAGAGTAAGTAGAACATATATGTATGTAGAGTGGAGACACTGGAGAGTAAGTAGAACATATATGTATGTATAGTGGAGACACTGGAAAGTAAGTAGAACATATATGTATGTAGAGTGGAGACACTGGAGAGTAAGTAGAACATATATGTATGTATAGTGGAGACACTGAAGAGTAAGTAGAACATATATGTTTGTATAGTGGAGACACTGGTGAGTAAGTAGAACATATATGTATGTATAGCGGAGACACTGAAGAGTAAGTAGAACATATATGTATGTAGAGTGGAGACACTGGTGAGTTAGTAGAACATATATGTATGTAAAGTGGAGACACTGGAGAGTAAGTAGAACATATATGTATGTAGAGTGGAGACACTGGTGAGTTAGTAGAACATATATGTATGTAGAGTGGAGACACTGGTGAGTTAGTAGAACATATATGTATGTAAAGTGGAGACACTGGAGAGTAAGTAGAACATATATGTATATAAAGTGGAGACACTGGAGAGTAAGTAGAACATATATGTATGTATAGTGGAGACACTGGAGAGTAAGTAGAACATATATGTATGTATAGCGGAGACACTGAAGAGTAAGTAGAACATATATGTATGTAGAGTGGAGACACTGGAAAGTAAGTAGAACATATATGTATGTAGAGTGGAGACCCTGGAGAGTAAGTAGAACATATATGTATGTATAGTGGAGACACTGAAGAGTAAGTAGAACATATATGTATGTAGAGTGGAGACACTGGAAAGTAAGTAGAACATATATGTATGTAAAGTGGAGACACTGGAGATTAAGTAGAACATATATGTATGTATAGTGGAGACACTGGAGAGTAAGTAGAACATATATGTATGTAGAGTGGAGACACTGAAGAGTAAGTAAAACATATATGGATGTAGAGTGGAGATACTGGAAAGTAAGTAGAACATATATGTATGTATAGCGGAGACACTGGAGAGTAAGTAGAACATATATGTATGTATAGTGGAGACACTGGAGAGTAAGTAGAACATATATGTATGTAGAGTGGAGACACTGGAGAGTAAGTAGAACATATATGTATGTATAGTGGAGACACTGGAGAGTAAGTAGAACATATATGTATGTAGAGTGGAGACACTGGAAAGTAAGTAGAACATATATGTATGTATAGCGGAGACACTGGAGAGTAAGTAGAACATATATGTATGTATAGTGGAGACACTGGAGAGTAAGTAGAACATATATGTATGTAGAGTGGAGACACTGGAGAGTAAGTAGAACATATATGTATGTAGAGTGGAGACACTGGAAAGTAAGTAGAACATATATGTATGTAGAGTGGAGACACTGGAGAGTAAGTAGAACATATATGTATGTATAGTGGAGACACTGGAGAGTAAGTAGAACATATATGTATGTAGAGTGGAGACACTGAAGAGTAAGTAAAACATATATGGATGTAGAGTGGAGATACTGGAAAGTAAGTAGAACATATATGTATGTATAGTGGAGACACTGGAGAGTAAGTAGAACATATATGTATGTATAGTAGAGACACTGGAGAGTAAGTAGAACATATATGTATGTAGAGTGGACACACTGGAAAGTAAGTAGAACATATATGTATGTAGAGTGGAGACACTGGAAAGTAAGTAGAACATATATGTATGTGTAGTGGAGACACTGAAGAGTAAGTAGAACATATATGTATGTATAGCGGAGACACTGGAGAGTAAGTAGAACATATATGTATGTAGAGTGGAGACACTGGGGAGTAAGTAGAACATATATGTATGTAGAGTGGAGACACTGGAAAGTAAGTAGAACATATATGTATGTAGAGTGGAGACACTGGAAAGTAAGTAGAACATATATGTATGTAGAGTGGAGACACTGGAGAGTAAGTAGAACATATATGTATGTATAGTGGAGACACTGAAGAGTAAGTAGAACATATATGTATGTATAGTGGAGACACTGGGGAGTAAGTAGAACATATATGTATGTATAGTGGAGACACTGGGGAGTAAGTAGAACATATATGTATGTATAGTGGAGACACTGGGGAGTAAGTAGAACATATATGTATGTATAGTGGAGACACTGGGGAGTAAGTAGAACATATATGTATGTATAGTGGAGACACTGGGGAGTAAGTAGAACATATATGTATGTAGAGTGGAGACACTGGGGAGTAAATAGAACATATATGTATGTAGAGTGGAGACACTGGAGAGTAAGTAGAACATATATGTATGTAGAGTGGAGACACTGGAGAGTAAGTAAAACATATATGTATGTAGAGTGGAGACACTGGAAAGTAAGTAGAACATATATGTATGTAGAGTGGAGACACTGGAGAGTAAGTAGAACATATATGTATGTAGAGTGGAGACACTGGAGAGTAGTACACTGGTTAGTTCCCAGATTGATCCTCGTCGACCGTGGTCCTTGTTTGGATAGATGTAGATGTAGTGGTCCTAGCAGTTTGTTTGTTTGTTATTACGCCGCACTCCACAATACTCCAGCTTTCTGTAAATAGTCGAGTCTGAACCAGACAATCCGGTAATAGACACCATGAGCATCAATTTACAAACTTGGAATACGCTGACATGCATCAACCAAGTCTGCGAGCCTGACCATCCGATTCCGTTCGTCGCCTCTTACAATAAATATTGGTTGCCGAAGACCAAATCTATCCTGGATCTTCACGGATGAGTAGTAGTAGGAGTAGTAAGCAAGAAGTAATACAATGTGGACAGAAAACTATGTGAATAATTTACACATGTCCGCCGGCAGTGCCAACCTTGGATTCCTGTTATCTCTCATGCACAACTTACCTGTCTACCCTGGGAGTTGGGACGAGCGGTACATTGGTCAAAAACACATTTGGAGAAATAAGCGTGGGCACTTTTCATTAGTCATGTGTCACCGACTGGCCGTGTGATTAATTATACTGATACAAGTAGCGGGATCACGGGACTCATTGTGCTAATCCCTTGTTAACACTAATCCCCCTGTAATCCCCTGCAGGGTTAAACCGATCGTGAAAATGGCAGATTAAGGATTGTTGGCCAGGGTACAAGCTGGGAAATTATGTCAGACAGATGCTGATGTTTACAGATATGTAGGCCCTGAACTCAGTTATTTTAATTTGAACTAAAGGCAAGTGATATGCTTTCATGGGACAAGCTATTTGACCAGATGATTTGGTATGTTTCCCAACTCATTTTGCTAAAAAGTCCTATTTTTGTCTTTTTTGATAGGCATTTAGAAGTTGGAGTACTAAGTAAGGATAAGAATTTATGGATGAACAACTTCTGTATTACAATTAAGAGTGGTGTTAGAACCTACACCGAAAAGTCGCTCTTAATTATTGTAATAAAGAAGTTGTTCATCCATACATTCTTATCCCTGCTTAGTCCTATTTGTGATTCAGTTGAGTGATGGAGTACACTACACTTCATAAATATATGATTCTGGACAAAGCGAGACGAAGAGGGCGAAGGGTTATCATGTTTCTTTTTAAATTTCTATGCTGTAAATGAAAGACGGTATGAACAAATAGTGTTTTGTAGCTACATGGCGGTGTTCGTTCTTGTCTTGTATATGCAGGATGTATGTGTATAGGTTGATTGTCTAATAGTTAGCTGAACATCAAATCATTAAGTTAAATTTCAAACTGATAACATATGAGTGTTTTCAAGGTTTGAAGAAACGTTCATATAATATACCTTACACCTCAAAGGGGAGCTAACACTGCTCTATTTCCGCAGGATGCTTCGTCCTGTGAAACCATCACACAGTCAAGCAGTGTTGTTCATATCCTCCACATCATCTGGTTGCTGCTGCGTCGTGCCCACGTCGTAGAGACGACCATAGTAAGTACACTTACTCCCTACACGTTCGTTATTCCATGTGTTCTAAACTGCAACTGTAACTTCAACTGACAACCACTGTCGCCCATGTGCTGGTCGTACTTCCGGGTTGGCGTGTTTTATCACAGACGAGGATAGTCATACATCATGTCATAGCTTGGCCCCATTACTCTGACTTAGTGTAGGCAGGATCCAATACATGTGCCGTACTTACGTTTATAATGGTTGTTGCTGTAGTAGATCACATTGGCATTACAGAACCCTAGGTATACAGACAACATGTCTATTACACACACATGTGTTGTAGCGTCTGCTGGTCAAGTCAGATGAGGACCAGGGCGGCGGGATGTGAGACATCTGTTTATTCCCGCTATGTAATGTGTCTATAACATGACACTCTGTATTAACAATCAAATAGGAAATAAGTATACCTAAACACATCTCTCACATAAATATATAAATCAATTACATATTGCATAAAGGACAATTGAAATCTCATTGTCAAGTCCCTGCATAAGTATATATGATCTGTAGCATATTAGGTATTTCATAATAAGTTAATCACGTTAACCCATAAACAAATACATATATATTTACCTACCAGCTGAACATTACTGATAGTATACGAAACATGTATACAGGTGTAATTGAAATAGGCATATATTCATTAGATATATATATGTATGTATGTATGTATGTATGTATGTATGTATGTATGTATGTATGTATGTATGTATGTATGTATGTATGTATGTATGTATGTATGTATGTATGTATGTATGTATAAAGGCATACCCTGTGGGTGACACGGAGCGTAGCCTTTGGCCTGAGTGGCGGCCAACCCTTCCAATATGTCGTATGCAATAGCCTACATGATAAATAACATTCACATACTATCCCACATTGTTGATCCTGAAAATACAACGCAGGCAACATATATATATTTCCTAAATAGCGTTTTGTCTATATTTACAATATTCCTGATTATTACATATCAGATAATACTCATACAGATAGTGCACAGCGGTTACACTGAAATCTAACACTTTGTTTCATGAACCCATTAATAACATTCATGCTCATAAATTACTAACTATTTACAATATCACAAATATTAGATTACTATAAGTTATTTCATGCAATCAGTAAGTTTATTATACTTTTAGACAATAGACTAAGATAAGTAAGTAATACTATTAACTAACCTGTAGAATTGTACTGTGGTGCAGTGCTGTGATAGTGACAAATGGTCAGAGGTGTTAAGATGGCTGGTAACATATATATTTAAAATCACCAATCAAGGCAAAGAGCTATCTTTCAGCCCTTTGATCAAGACTGTGAAACAACTATACTAAAGTGGAATTACCTGACTACCCTTAAAACAAGAAAGAACTGACCCTATAACCTGATTAAGCTATGAGAGTAATATACCCGAGATAGAGATAGACGGACAAGTAATTATGACACTTGTTGTAAACAAGCAGTAGTCTGTTGAACAACCCTGTGTACATATACACAACGCATAATACAATGTAAGTGGTACAAACGTCAAAAATGGTTGATTTTATCACTGTAACGTGATTAAACAGAAAGGATTTCCAAACGACTTACAGCGCACTGTATTGAAGACATTGGTGAAAAGAAATATTAACAATATCCTTGGCACTTGCGTCTATACAGGAACAGCATAAGAGACTATGGCGACAGCAAAGTTGGATAATGACGTAGCTGACTGTGAACGGACAACGGTGATAAACGAGATCGACGCTGTTTCTGTCAACATTGACAGTGATGTCTCGTATATTAACACTGTTGTGTACAAAGGTATGTACCTGTATAACCGATTTTCAATTGTTGTGTATTCGTGAATTGACTTTCACTTTGTGTGAGTCCATTGGAGTATGAACCTTCATAGAGTGAGGGCCAAACTGTGTGAACGTCGCCAGATGTAGCGCTAGATCTATACGTGTGTCTCCACGTTCACACTGACAGCCATACAACAACCAGCCGTATCGCGGAATAAAATAGTTCCGAAGATATGATCAGAAACACCGCTTTTGTATGTATTCGTGCTAGGGAATTCCCAGGGTTTCCCTTGGAATGTGGAAGCAGTCCGTCAGTGACTACGTCATTTCAAGAATACAGTAACGCAAGAACGACGTCGTCAAATTGTGTCGTTTGCGGTCATGTGACCGGCCTCTATCGCATATTGAGTAAACTTCAAATTAGAGAATTATATAGCTATGGAAGTTCGTCTTCAATATGCATTACCCATGTAAACACCAACTATAATCTGGATGTCTGGATCACATAAAAACTCATGTCCATATACAAATGCGAGTTTGTTGTATCCCTATCTTAGTGTGTTTTTGATTCTCATATGTGTATAATTCATCCATCAATAGATTGATTTATGGATATGCTAACACATGGTTAATCGCACGGTTTATCCCCGGAGCCATCTTAAATGTAAATGAATGTACTTTAGAGGGGTTTTATCTGCATTCAGGATCCGAGATTACATCCGGGCCGTCACCGTTTGAAAACATCGTCAGTGAGTATAATCTACGATCGCTGCTGGGAGTATTTACTATTGTACAGCTGAAGAATGGCCTTTTGTCTAATGTTTGAATTTGAGTTGCAACATATGTGACACCGTCCAGTGTCCTTGCATGTTCTGGTCTTGTGGTAGAGCGTCCGCCCGGAGAGCGGAAGGTCCAGGGTTCGATCCCGGGCCGCGTCATACAAAAAGACGTTAAAAGATTGTACTTGTTGTTACCCTGTCTAGCTCTCGGCATTAAGGGGCTAAAACAAGGACTGGTCGGCTCGGAGTCAGTATACTGTGTCTGAGTGGGGTATTCATGTTAAACTGCGGCATGGTATCTCAGTGAGCTAGCACTATAAATCGGCATCAGTCCGGACTAGTACAAGCAGCCACACACACACATACACGTGCATGCACGTCGCTATATAAATGCAATAATCTTGGACGCGACGTTAAACCCAATTTCACCTCACCTCACCTTGCATGTTCAACTGTTCTGTACTATTTGGGAGACATTTTTACGTAGATGATATAAGAAACAGAAACTGCGTTGATCATATCTTACTTCACCAACATTTTATAGACGCATTGCCATTATCACCATATCTTAAAATAACCAACGACACTACTGGCGTGTGTGCACAATTCTACCAAACCATAAGATTCTGTTTCAGTTTGGTATGTTGGAGATATACTTAAAATGTTCTTATTGTTTTAGATTCTGCTCGGGCAAATATCAATCAGGTCAATTCAAAGCCACATGTTTCAACACGCGCTGAGAGGTCTGTGATGCGGCTGTTTAACAAAACCCGGTCTGTTCTAATAGAAGGGAAGTCAGGAGCAGGGAAGTCTAGGCTGGCAATGCGTCTATTGTCAAACATTTCAACTGAGACAGGAAGGAAACCTGTAATCTTGTCATCATGGCACCAGTGGGATATCATTCCGAAACGCACAGACAATGACAGTGGTGGATTAAGTGAGAAGTGTGTTGTGTTGATCGATGACATATATGGCTCCAGCAATCTGGATCCGCAGCAAGTGGTTGGATGTGAAAGATACTTTGACATGATGTGGCCTCATGCACACTCCGGTGACATGATCTTTGTTCTGACTTCCAGATCAGACATATCTTCTGTGTGTAAAAGCACAGTGACAAATAATCCTCTCATCAGAAAATCTATCCATGTAGACCTAGATGGAAGCAAATATTCATTAACAGCAAATGAAAAAAGAAAAATGCTGAGAAAGGTGTGTCGGTTTGACTTCAGTGCAAGTGAAATAGAGAAAATAACAGAGATAGATGTCTCCCTTGGGTTTCCTCAGTGTTGTACTTACTTCTCTAACAGCACAAGGGCAAAGGCGAAAAGGGTTGGTTACTTTCACAGCCCACTTGAATTCATCTTAGAAGAGGTGGACACTCTACATGAATGTGACGGCCTTGGCTACCTTGTCTTATTACTTGTTTTGATGAACAAAGGACACCTACATGAGGAAGTGTTCTGCCCCTTCAAGCGGCCGATCACAACACTTATAGGAAGCCTGAAAGAATGCTGTCGGGGAATATCCGAACATGTCACACTAACAGATATCCATAAGAAGGCTGAAGCTCTCTGCGATGTGTACCTTCTTCAGACACAAAGAGGATACATCTTCCCACATCAGTCAGTGTTTGATGCTATGTTCATCAGTATTTCCAAGAGGTATCCAGATATCTGCATCGACATCTGTCCCAGTGACATGCTGGTGGAGTTAGTGAGGACACACGTGACAGATACAGATAGACTTGACACTATTTTATGTCTATCAGAACAATATTTTCCAGTTTTGGCTGATCGATTGACAGAAATATTGATGTCTGATGGGTATCAAAGTATCCTAAATCATCCATCATTTCACCACAAGGAGTTTGTACAGTTTCTGATTAACACGTGGGCAAGTGAAAAGTGGAACATACTGCTACATGAACACACGCCAACAACTGTGAGTGTTGAACACCCTATTGTGTTACTCCAGACTTATCCTTTGTTTGAACACAGGGTGCTTCTCTCAGATATCATTTTGAAAAAGATGAAACTTGTGTTGCACTTTGCTTGTCTAAAAGACCTGGACACCTCTGTCCATTTGCCTAGTTGTTTGGCGTGTGCTATCTATAGTGGAGACAATGACCTGATCAGAGACTTGCTTTCGGCGGGTGCAGATCCAAATGAAGATTGCTTTCGAGCCCTATGTCAATCATCAAACATTGAAGAAAACTTTACAGGTGCAATTCTCACATGCGTTGAGAACCAAATAGACAGTGTGAGCGACTTGGATCACTTGTTTGGCATCGCCGTGCTAAGCGGAAATACCCACTTAGTAAAACTGTTAGTGAAGCTTTGGAAGGGACAAAAAACACATTTAATTCAACGATATTTAGAAATGTTATTGATGAAATTTGTGAAAATTCCCACAGACCCTTCTTTAATATTTCCACGTGAGATCAGTAAATATGCTGATATGGTTGATGTGTTGATTTCAGCAACTTGTGACATTGACCTCGATTATATGGTGTGGCTGTCAGCAGCACATCCAGATGCTACAATTCTCAGATGTTTCCTACGGAACCCAAAGTCTGATCCCTTGAAGACATACAGGGGATCACATCTCTTTCTCGATACAACATCCTTGCAACAGGCAGCAGCGTTTGGTGGTGCTGAATGTGTGCATCTCCTGACAGAGTATCTTCTACAGAAGGGTGTTTCACCAGCTACCTTTTTGAATGAATCAGAATCCAACAATTACTTCTCCCCAAACCCAAGTGTGTTAGAGTTAGCACTACAGTACAACGACAGCGCCGATGTCATCACAGCACTGCTACACGCAGGAGCTGATGCCAGGAGAAAGAATTCACTAGGGCAAACAATGCTTCATATTGCTGCAGCCAGGATGCACTCCGAATATGTGCAAACCCTCTTGAAAGCAGGTGCACTTATTCATGAAACATCTCGAAATGGGAAGACTGCTTTCACTTACATATATCCATATGGGTTCGAAAGCATAGAGTCTGATACACATGTTGAAATTGTCAAAGCATTTGTTGAAGCTGGAAGTAATATCAACGAACTTGACTTTAATGGCAGATGCTGTCTTCTCAAGGCTGCTATTTATCAAGACTTTGAAACTGTTCACTATTTGTGTAGTAAAGGGGCTGACTTGAATCAAAAAGACACTGACGGAAAATCAGTTTTGTTTGATGTGCTTAGCATGTGTGAATTTGAGATGATAAAATATGTCATCCGTCTTGGAGGAGATATATCTGTATTAGACAGCAGTCGTCGGAGTGTCATGCACTATGCAACAAAGTCGGGTACTGCAGCTGTGGACTTGATCTCATACTTCAAGGATGTGAAAAACATGCCTTTAGATGGCGTTGACAAGCTGGGAAGAAATATTTTGTTCTATGCTGCAAGATGTGGTGATGAGGAGGTCGCTGAGCTGCTTGTAGACATGGGACTAGATGTCAACACGAGAGACATGGAGGGAGCAACGCCCTTGCATGTAGCATGTGGAAAGGATGATTCATTATCAAACACTCGGGTCAATTCGTGCATTATTAAATTCTTTTTGGAGAAATGTGCTGATCCATGTGTACAGGATGCAGGTGGCGATACACCATTACACTACGCAGTAACGGTGTCGAGATCATGTGAGATTGTAGAGCTTCTGCTGGAGAAAGGTGCGGATCCAAATATTCAAGGTAAACATGGTTGCACTCCTTTACATTGCGCAGTGCAAGAGAGGGCAAAGGACATTATCCCGACCCTGCTTGCAAAAGGTGCAGACCTCTCTGCCAAAGATATTGATGGTTGTACACCTTTACACTATGCAGCTAGATCATATGCCGGGCGCGAGAATGTGAAATTACTTCTTGAGAAAGGTGGTAATCCAAGTATTAAAGACAAACATGGTTGCACTTCTTTGCACTATGCCGCGAAGACCTGGGGTGCTGGAATGTCTATTATCTCATTACTTGAGACTGGTGCTGATGTATGTGCCAAAGACAGACACGATTGTACCCCATTACATTATGCAGCAAAAGAGAGGGATTGTAAAGACAATGTGAAGTTACTTCTACAGGGAGGTGCGGACATATGGGCAAAGGACAAAGATGGCCGTACTCCTGTTCACTATGCAGCAAAGACATTGTATTGTGATGGAAATTTGAAGATTCTTTTTGAGAAAGTGATTCGTCCTTTGGCTAGAGATAGTGATGGGTGTACCCCGTTACACTGTGCTGCTAAAGAGAGAGATTGTGGGGAGAACCTCCAGGTGCTCCTGGATAACAGTGCTGACACTCGTGCTCAAGATGGAAAAGGTTGTACTGCTCTACACTACGCGGCAAGAGTACGTGGTGGAAGCAGAAACGTGAAACTGCTTTTGGAGTATGGTTCGCCACCATCCACGCAAGATAAGGACGGTTGTACTCCTTTACACTTTGCAGCCAAAGAGTGTGGTTGTGAAGCAAATGTGAAGATACTCCTGGACAAGGGTGCTGATCCATCTGTTGAAGACAGAAATGGTTGTACTCCGCTTAAGTATGCACTCGACAGTGGCTCTGAAGATAATGTGAATGCTCTCCTGGAACACGATACGTGTGCACACGACGAGACCATTATATACAGCAGAAAGTAAAACAGCAGGTGGTTACATACTTACCATCATAGTAAGGGAACTCAACCTGTGCATGGCCATGGGAGATGACATCGAGTCAACGGAATGATGCACCCTACGTACATTGCCTTCATGCAACAGATAGAGCTACCTTGTGTGGGTGCATGCCTCTAAACCATATCTACAGACAAGATCCTTTATCCTGACTTCAGGGCAACGATACCATGAGTTCATGAGCTGCTCAGAATATTCTACGTTTCAAAAGAACTTAATTGTTAATGAAGAACTTAATTGTTAATTAAGAACTGATATGAAGATAGAACTTTCATAACTTAAACATGTCACTAAATGACTATAAAAGCATGGCATCTTATGTCAGTGAAGTATGCCCAATTTAAAAATTTGTAAATGATCGAATTATGTTGGAAATGATGACATGATGTGAATTTCTTACAAATCCTCTCTTTAAAGACCGTGTCAAAATAGTGTGTATAATGGCGATGCCTCACTGCATTTAGTAGTTACTGTGTGCATGTCACCCACACATAATTATAAGCTGTTCAACGAGCTTCCCATTTTATATCAAGATTTTAGAGGGTGATAATGTAAATGGGAGTTTTGCATCCTTTTTATTACCTATGCTACTTTTTATCAATTATAAACAATCTACATCATGTCTACGTGTTCTGGTAATGAGAGCTAAGTTTGTATGAATACAAAGTTCGTGAGATGTGTTTTGTGGCAGTAGAGATTGTTGTAGGATTATTTGTGGTAATTGTCAGTGGCAGCTAATGGCAAAATGTCGAGTGCTGTCGTGGTCATTTTGTTACAGCAAGTGTGTTTGAGAGTTACCTCCCTTAATTGTTCACAACCACCGGACGGCTTGGTCGTGAGAATAGTTTCGTGATGCGCCAGGTTCTAGAAGGCTGTCTGTATACACTTGCGTCTAACCTACTGACCGAGTGCGGAATGGATACCTAACTGGAAACACCGAATTCCTCCTAGCTTCCAACACTTCCACCTTCAGGGAGAGAGACAGGTTTGTTTCAGGACATTCGACAGTGAAATGTTTGGGGCATTCTGAAGTGCACTGACATGTATTGTAGTACTTGTTACTTATTGCTGCTGTCACTCATCATATTGCCGTCTGTGTAAACCTAAATCTGTGTGTTTGAATGTAGGTTATTGTTCATTCATTGATCTTGTGTGTTCGTTTACTTCAGAATTTAATTCTATACTAACATACTGTAGGGTTAGCTTTGCGTTTCTGTTTGGAAATCATCTTCGTAACAAATGTAGCGCCCGCATCACTAATTATTTAGAAAATCAAACCCAATGGCAAATATCGTGGAACAACTCTGTCGCTCCCATTCCCTTTCCTACAGCTCGGCAGGCTGCTACTGGTACTGGTTCGTCAGCCTCGTGTCAGGATTGTGTGTGCATATCGCTCTTTGGTTGGGAATATCATGACATAGAACTACCGGACATGTTAGTATTGCAAGAACGTTCAAGACAAAGTTGTGATCAGTGATGATTGTCGCCAGTCTTTATCACATGACGGAATTCATGGCCGTAGAACATGACCAACCAGCGGCGGCGCTTGACAAGCTCAATGTTCAGCATAATAATGAAAGTGTCAGGTTCAAAGTGTTGCGTTGGGTATGTCAGCCCACAAATTTGACTAAATCTCAGACATGACCGACAAAATATTCAGTTGGTATCACAACCTCATCAGCATCGGAAAGTTACATTGACGTTTTAGGTCAAATTAGTTTAGTTAATCAAAACAGTGTGTTATGATCATTATGTAGTACCACGTTGGTAATCTTAATTATAAAACGTTGACAAAACACCCCCTTAATTCCCAACTCTAAGCGGCGATTGCGCGTGTGTGAATGTTGACTATGTCCCAGCTTTACTAACTGTACAACTGCCCTTCCATGTACAGCAGACTTCGTACTGTTATATATCACAAGGTGTCCAGGCCTTCCACAGTGTTTCGACTGTAAGGGTGGTATGGGTAACCTACTCTTGGCATCAACTCATTTATTATTTTCTGCTTGTACAGGACAAACTTGACATGTCAGAAAATGTATATATAAGTGAAGCCTGTAGCTAATGTTCTTGCCGTGAACCAGTTGTAACTAATGCTATTTAACTGGTTTCTTATCAGTTATCGAATATTTGTTTTTGTGAATGCGTTCGTTTCACGAACTATTCTCAGACAGTATACCCACACATCATACTAAGTCAGAAAGTTTGAACTTGTCTTTCTTTCTCTCCTGGTCAGCCCCACAGCTCTTATGTGATTGACAGATTCCAGTCTACCTATCCTGTATGTGATTGTCTTTTAACTTACACTGTCAGCCCAAACATCGAAGCATGTTCCCATACTTACATATTGAAAGTCTAAAATGTCAAGTGTTGATCTATGTATTGGGATCGGTGCGGAAGTCTTGTGGTTTAAGTGTTCGCTCGTCACGCGAAACTAGAGGGTTCGATTCGCTACATACGAGGTCTGGCCTTGGTCCCACATCGTAATATGGCTGCTAAAATGTTAAATGCGGCATAAAACCACACTCACTCACTCGGGGAACATTCACACTGAATTCAGTGTCGGTTCATCCTCTGACCTGACTTTAGTTTGGTGATTGTTGGCATCAGTGGAGATCTGGCGATAAACATTCGTATTCAGTGACTGTACGCCATAGGGTTTCAACGGTCTGTTGGTTTGGAAAGGGACTTTCATCTACATAAATCATAAGTGTCTGTCTGTGAACATATATCTTCTGAGTGTTGTTTGAAAATGAGAGAACTTTGATTTGGAAAACAGTACTTTGGTAAATCAAGACTTACAACATCTTTCCTTGGCTGCAAAAGTCTGAAAACTGGACTTTTCAATTAACGCCCTTGACCCGGGAAGATTACTTACAGTGATTGTTTCAGCGAACTTTGGCTGCTGCAAACTCATTTTCGGAGTGACAGTACGAATGTATATTGAAAACACTTTAATTGTAAACTCAATTGATGACCAGAAGTATCACAACATATGTCCCTTAAACTGTCTTGACATCAACTTGCGAACACCTTAATCCAGGCATGGCTGGCATGAATGTTGTCACGTGGTACTCTCCCGCGCGCACATCGCTAGTACCTCGTCATAGGAAGGTGGGCTGCGGGCATCTGAAACACACGGGCAGCTTACAGCATATCATTGATAAGACTCCAACGTGATATTGAAGTGACGTCTTTGTAGTCATTTTGAGGATGGTAATGAAGTCTGATGATTAAATGGATGTGTGACAGCATACATAGCGACTTTTATGTGTGTAAAGTAACGTGACGTTCTACTTGTTTGATTACATATTCCTCTGATCACGTCAGATGGATAGGTGAATGGGTAATGGGGCTAGGGGAGGGGTGGGGTGGGGTGGGGTGGTGGGGGGCATGGCATCAGTCGAAATCTATGGAACTTTCTATGTGAATGAAGAGCAAGGGACACTACTCTAGATATGTCATGCACGGAATCAGCTAAAAGTGATTTTGAATAATGTGAATGTCACATTGAGCATCGGATTCATTGTAAATATCATTTAAAAACCACAGTAATCACAATTTACGTGTTTGTACGTGACAAACCTCGCGGATAGGTCCGCCTACTGGCAGCACAGGCTTCAGTTCGTGTGTTTTAGGGTGGAAGGATTTCACGTGAGAATATCTCTCCCGACCAGGCTGTGTTCACATCGGTGTGACGGTAGCGTCACGCCTTCACGACGCCTGTAATTGTGTAGAGAAGAATGCAACGATCTGCTTACCCCCACCGAGTTCATCCACTTCTGTATACGGCGGCGGAGACAGCATCAGCGTAGCAGGGGGCACTCCACCTCCATCACTCGTTGCCATGGCATCAGGTGACATCACAACCACACAATCACGTGATGACAGTCCATCTGGTTGTGTGACCATGTCCGTATTGTCTGTTGGATAACTGTGGGTGTTTACAGTTGAAATAACCTCTCTGCGATGAAGGAACATAACACAGTGAACTCCATTACCTTGACATTTCGTTAAATACAACGCAACTCTACGATCTATGCTGAATATTTCTTGAAAAACGCACTTTGCAGTGTTTCCTCGCAGGCGGAAGGCTTTGTTGTCACTTTATAAGTAGTAACACACATGCAGCTGTCTACGTTTAGTGGGGGGCACGGGTGGCCCAGTCGTCTGAGGCGCCGCAATTCGCTGTTCAGAGTTGCGTCCCTTGGGCCCGCCAGAAACCTATGATTATGTTTCCAAGTTTGTCAGCACCATACCCGTGCTAGTGGGTTTCACCAAAGTGGTAAGCGTCTGAGACCTGCATCACTTCGGGCTTTCCTTCCACATAAAGCTGACATGCCCTGATATAACTGTTAAAAAGCGGCGTTAAACCCAACTCACTCACTCACTCTTAGTTTAGTAATCATCGCGATATTTCTTGATTCTATTTCGAGTGGCGTTCTATCGTAGTTCCACTGTGCGAGGATACGCCAGGGATCAACATGTGCTTCACGTAGTGTGAATGTATGGCCTTCATGGCCGGGAGACACTATGATATGACACATGGAATCTTATACCGTATAATTCATGCAATAAGTCATCCGTAACATAACTATCGTTTTGGGCGTGGCCGGTCATATTTTGTGCTGACTTCGTGACTTTCATTATTGTCGTGAGCGGAAACTAAAATAGTGATCACGTGACAACAATGGCTTCTGGGTACGGATGAGAGACCATCAGTGACGACACTCTTTTGGAGTACGCGTACTGTTAACTGACCTAAAAGCTTTCAGTGATAGAAAATTTCTATAATGATAAATTCATGGTTTGTCTTCACTTACGTCACGTTATAATATCCCCCGATACATATTTTTCTACAAATCCAATATGTTGTCCAAGGGATATGTGTTACAATAGATGAACATCTGGTAAAGACATCCGGGGTTTTAAATGAGTTTAAATGTAACACGTTCAAAAGTGCTCAACACTTATGGCAAATATGTCATCGAAGTTAGCAGCTAGCCTTAAAATAACATCATTGTATACCATGACGGTGACGAGGTTCGTCTTGGCTATACACCATTCTGTATGACCACTATCTGTGCAGACCTAAGAAGCCAGAGAACCCTGTCTTTTCACGTGCGGTTGCTGTACAACTGAAAGGATTTGACTTAGTAACTATGTTTCTCAAACCGGAAATATAGGTGTCCCACCAGTAGAAAGGCGACCTTATGTGTGCTGGGATACACTGTGCTGTGACATCATAATTACAGACGTTTGACATCAACTTATAAATTACTTTCATTATATAAAAGGCCCTGTGTGAAATATCTTATTTTTCTCAAGTTAGTTAGTTTTATTGGAATCAAACATTATTAAAACAAATCAGCATACATGTCTACTTTCAATAATCAGACATTATATCTAAAATCTGCAATCATTCCATAAATAGTAAAAATGGGGTTTGCAGTAAATGGGTCCAATGTTTGATGCCATGTAATAATATGAATTGAAGCTTATGAATTGTATTTTTGTGGTCCTAAGATACTGTAGTTTAAACATATAATAAGAAGTGAACATGTGATGTATCTCCCATATGATCCCCCATCTCATGACTGGTCACATGAAGGACTCCCTGTACTTGACAATCACATCATACACAGGTGTACTGTGGCGCTACGTACCAATGCATCGTTCCACCCCTATTGAAAGGTCCGTCTCATTTAGGCTTGACGCTGACTTTTTTTAATTAAACGGCAACTTACTGATAATCCGAGTTTGCTATCTTCATCCAGATGAGCGGGACGAAGCATATATCTAACAGCCAGCCGAGAACTAGTGCGCCAAGTGATATCATGTAGACGATAGCAGTGTAGATATTGCCCAGGTAGATGTGATGGAAGCCTGTGAGGGAACAAAAGCTCATAATATGACATTAACATATGGATATTGAATGAATCAACAAAAATTATGTTTGCTCACTAAATCTGAGTAAACATTAATTTTGTTGGTGAAATTCATATTAATATTTGTTGATTAAATTAATAATTATGCATATGTTTCCAGAGTAGACATCATTTACTCTAAAAAACACAATTGAAACATTGGGATACCTTTCTCGGCACTGATAATAATATTGCATATTGACAGTGATCTCTTATCCGCCAGATAATACTAAGACGGTTCTTGTGAGCAACACAGTGGCCCAAGTTATCTGTCAGCACTTTTATATAATACAATATTAAGGGTTCATACCTAAAAGTCCAAAGGGAGGTAACCAGAGTAGATAAGCGTCCATCAGATACTTCCTTCCTCGCAGTTCAGGATGAAGAAGCTCAAGGTTGGCATTGTCAACCAACCACGGTACACGTATCAGATCCACCACATACCCTAGACCAAGCAGTCCCGCTGTGAATATGTACAGTGTCCCAAATTTAGGACGACCGAGGTAAAAATGATGAGCACCAACTATTCCCAAAAATAATGCCAGGAAATACGTAACAAACACTGACTTTCTTTTTAACCGCACCGGGTGAAAATGTAGGTTGGAGCTTGGACATGACTGGCGACTGTATTCTGTATCTGCATTGTGATTGGGTGGAAATTGGAATGACGTCACTGAACTTTGACCGTCATCATCATATGTTCCGACAGAGGCAGTTCCGGAGTGTGTCCTATATGTCAAACGCGGACTCTCGTTGTGACCTTCAAAGGAAAGGTCAAGGTCATAAGGGATGACTATCACGCCGTCATGTGGCGTGGAAAAGCTAGTGTCCATGTTAATGTTGTTTATGTAATCATCTGTAGAAGCAGCGATGTCACACCTTCTTTCTGAAACACGTTACAGGTACACATGATACATACACACAATTATGTCGATCTGTTAAGCCAATTTTACCGATATTGTCAAAATATGTGTCAGGTGTAGGGGTGTCGGTACTGACATATTATTGATCAGGTGGGGATCCGGAGAGAGAGGGTATCGATACTCTCATATTATTGATCAGGTTGGGCTCCGGAGAGAGAGGGTATCGATACTGACATATTATTGATCAGATGGGGATCCGGACAGAGGGGGTATCGATACTAACATATTATTGATCAGGTGGTGATCCGGACAGAGGGGATATCGATACTGACATAATCTTGATCGGGTGGCGATCGGGGTAGATGGGGTATCGATACTAACATATTGATAATAGTTATCAGGTATCAGTTCTGCCGTATTTCATAAATGAACATATTTTCCAAATCGATATTTAGAATAACAACGCTATTTGAATATTTAGTATGAAAAGTCATGAATACACTTTGCAGCATAAGTGCCTGCCCATCTGTACATGGCGAGGTATACAAATAGGTGGATGCCGAGTTCGTCGTGTTAAACCAGTGATGCAGGTATCATCATATGTAGCCTACACTCAGTGTGCGAGGTATACAAATAGGGGGATGCCGAGTTCGTCATGTTAAACCAGTGATGCAAGTATCATATCATATGTAGCCTACACTCAGTGTGCGAGGTATACAAATAGGGGGATGCCGAGTTCGTCGTGTTAAACCAGTGATGCAAGTATCATATCATATGTAGCCTACACTCAGTGTGCGAGGTATACAAATAGGGGGATGCCGAGTTCGTCATGTTAAACCATTGATACAGGTATCATCATATGTAGCCTACACTCAGTGTGCGAGGTATACAAATAGGGGGATGCCGAGTTCGTCGTGTTAAACCAGTGATGCAAGTATCATATCATATGTAGCCTACACTCAGTGTGCGAGGTATACAAATAGGGGGATGCCGAGTTCGTCATGTTAAACCAGTGATGCAGGTATCATCATATGTAGCCTACACTCAGTGTGCGAGGTATACAAATAGGGGGATGCCGAGTTCGTCGTGTTAAACCAGTGATGCAGGTATCATCATATGTAGCCTACACTCAGTGTGCGAGGTATACAAATAGGGGGATGCCGAGTTCGTCATGTTAAACCAGTGATGCAGGTATCATCATATGTAGCCTACACTCAGTGTGCGAGGTATACAAATAGGGGGATGCCGAGTTCGTCATGTTAAACCAGTGATGCAAGTATCATATCATATGTAGCCTACACTCAGTGTGCGAGGTATACAAATAGGGGGATGCCGAGTTCGTCGTGTTAAACCAGTGATCCAAGTATCATATCATATGTAGCCTACACTCAGTGTCCGAGGTATACAAATAGGGGGATGCCGAGTTCGTCGTGTTAAACCAGTGATGCAAGTATCATCATATGTAGCCTACACTCAGTGTGCGGGGTATACAAATAGGGGGATGCCGAGTTCGTCATGTTAAACCAGTGATGCAGGTATCATCATATGTAGCCTACACTCAGTGTGGGAGGTATACAAATAGGGGGATGCCGAGTTCGTCGTGTTAAACCAGTGATGCAGGTATCATCATATGTAGCCTACACTCAGTGTGCGAGGTATAGAAATAGGGGGATGCTGAGTTCGTCGTGTTAAACCAGTGATGCAGATATCATATCATATGTAGCCTACACTCAGTGTGCGAGGTGTACAAATAGGGGGATGCCGAGTTCGTCGTGTTAAACCAGTGATGCAGATATCATCATATGTAGCCTACACTCAGTGTGCGAGGTATACAAATAGGGGGATGCCGAGTTCGTCGTGTTAAACCAGTGATGCAGGTATCATCATATGTAGCCTACACTCAGTGTGCGAGGTATACAAATAGGGGGATGCCGAGTTCGTCATGTTAAACCAGTGATGCAGGTATCATCATATGTAGCCTACACTCAGTGTGCGAGGTATACAAATAGGGGGATGCCGAGTTCGTCATGTTAAACCAGTGATGCAAGTATCATATCATATGTAGCCTACACTCAGTGTGCGAGGTATACAAATAGGGGGATGCCGAGTTCGTCGTGTTAAACCAGTGATGCAGGTATCATCATATGTAGCCTACACTCAGTGTGCGAGGTATACAAATAGGGGGATGCCGAGTTCGTCGTGTTAAACCAGTGATGCAGGTATCATCATATGTAGCCTACACTCAGTGTGCGAGGTATACAAATAGGGGGATGCCGAGTTCGTCGTGTTAAACCAGTGATGCAGGTATCATCATATGTAGCCTACACTCAGTGTGCGAGGTATACAAATAGGGGGATGCCGAGTTCGTCGTGTTAAACCAGTGATGCAGGTATCATCATATGTAGCCTACACTCAGTGTGCGAGGTATACAAATAGGGGGATGCCGAGTTCGTCATGTTAAACCAGTGATGCAAGTATCATATCATATGTAGCCTACACTCAGTGTGCGAGGTATACAAATAGGGGGATGCCGAGTTCGTCGTGTTAAACCAGTGATGCAAGTATCATATCATATGTAGCCTACACTCAGTGTGCGAGGTATACAAATAGGGGGATGCCGATTTCGTCGTGTTAAACCAGTGATGCAAGTATCATCATATGTAGCCTACACTCAGTGTGCGGGTTATACAAATAGGGGGATGCCGAGTTCGTCATGTTAAACCAGTGATGCAGGTATCATCATATGTAGCCTACACTCAGTGTGCGAGGTATACAAATAGGGGGATGCCGAGTTCGTCGTGTTAAACCAGTGATGCAGGTATCATCATATGTAGCCTACACTCAGTGTGCGAGGTAAACAAATAGGGGGATGCCGAGTTCGTCATGTTAAACCAGTGATGCAGGTATCATCATATGTAGCCTACACTCAGTGTGCGAGGTATACAAATAGGGGGATGCCGAGTTCGTCATGTTAAACCAGTGATGCAAGTATCATATCATATGTAGCCTACACTCAGTTTGCGAGGTATACAAATAGGGGGATGCCGAGTTCGTCGTGTTAAACCAGTGATGCAGGTATCATCATATGTAGCCTACACTCAGTGTGCGAGGTATACAAATAGGGGGATGCCGAGTTCGTCGTGTTAAACCAGTGATGCAGGTATCATCATATGTAGCCTACACTCAGTGTGCGAGGTATACAAATAGGGGGATGCTGAGTTCGTCGTGTTAAACCAGTGATGCAGGTATCATCATATGTAGCCTACACTCAGTGTGCGAGGTATACAAATAGGGGGATGCTGAGTTCGTCGTGTTAAACCAGTGATGCAGATATCATATCATATGTAGCCTACACTCAGTGTGCGAGGTATACAAATAGGGGGATGCCGAGTTCGTCGTGTTAAACCAGTGATGCAGATATCATCATATGTAGCCTACATTCAGTGTGCGAGGTATACAAATAGGGGGATGCCGAGTTCGTCGTGTTAAACCAGTGATGCAAGTATCATATCATATGTAGCCTACACTCAGTGTGCGAGGTATACAAATAGGGGGATGGCGAGTTCGTCGTGTTAAACCAGTGATGCAGATATCATCATAGGTAGCCTACACTCAGTGTGCGAGGTATACAAATAGGGGGATGCCGAGTTCGTCGTGTTAAACCAGTGATGCAAGTATCATATCATATGTAGCCTACACTCAGTGTGCGAGGTATACAAATAGGGGGATGGCGAGTTCGTCGTGTTAAACCAGTGATGCAGATATCATCATAGGTAGCCTACACTCAGTGTGCGAGGTATACAAATAGGGGGATGCCGAGTTCGTCGTGTTAAACCAGTGATGCAGGTATCATCATATGTAGCCTACACTCAGTGTGCGAGGTATACAAATAGGGGGATGCCGAGTTCGTCGTGTTAAACCAGTAATGCAGATATCATATCATATGTAGCCTACACTCAGTGTGCGAGGTATACAAATAGGGGGATGCCGAGTTCGTCGTGTTAAACCAGTGATGCAGATATCATCATATGTAGCCTACACTCAGTGTCCGAGGTATACAAATAGGGGGATGCCGAGTTCGTCGTGTTAAACCAGTGATGCAGATATCATCATATGTAGCCTACACTCAGTGTGCGAGGTATACAAATAGGGGGATGCCGAGTTCGTCGTGTTAAACCAGTGATGCAAGTATCATATCATATGTAGCCTACACTCAGTGTGCGAGGTACACAAATAGGGGGATGCCGAGTTCGTCATGTTAAACCAGTGATGCAGGTATCATCATATGTAGCCTACACTCAGTGTGCGAGGTATACAAATAGGGGGATGCTGAGTTCGTCGTGTTAAACCAGTGATGCAGATATCATATCATATGTAGCCTACACTCAGTGTGCGAGGTATACAAATAGGGGGATGCCGAGTTCGTCGTGTTAAACCAGTGATGCAGATATCATCATATGTAGCCTACACTCAGTGTGCGAGGTATACAAATAGGGGGATGCCGAGTTCGTCGTGTTAAACCAGTGATGCAAGTATCATATCATATGTAGCCTACACTCAGTGTGCGAGGTATACAAATAGGGGGATGCTGAGTTCGTCGTGTTAAACCAGTGGTGCAGATATCATCATATGTAGCCTACACTCAGTGTGCGAGGTATACAAATAGGGGGATGCCGAGTTCGTCGTGTTAAACCAGTGATGCAAGTATCATATCATATGTAGCCTACACTCAGTGTGCGAGGTATACAAATAGGGGGATGCCGAGTTCGTCGTGTTAAACCAGTGATGCAGACATCATCATATGTAGCCTACACTCAGTGTGCGAGGTATACAAATAGGGGGATGCCGAGTTCGTCGTGTTAAACCAGTGATGCAAGTATCATATCATATGTAGCCTACACTCAGTGTGCGAGGTATACAAATAGGGGGATGCCGAGTTCGTCGTGTTAAACCAGTGATGCAGGTATCATCATATGTAGCCTACACTCAGTGTGCGAGGTATACAAATAGGGGGATGCCGAGT